TTAAGAACTCAGGGGAAGAATCAGATCTCCTCATATTAATTACTATAATGGATTTTCTGTCCATTAAATCAACTTTTCCTTTGTTTTAAGCATTTTATTTAACCGGAACGAATTCGATTCGAATTTTCTAGGACAATCGTCGACATTAAATTTAAAAAAAACCTTTCTTAAATTTTTTATATACTTTTTTAATTTTGATTTTCCGTAACTTTGGAATGATTTCTTCCCCATTTTGGTTACGTTTACATACTTAAATTTCAGAAATGTCTCCGGTGCTTATTTTCCGAAAAAAAAAAAAAAGGGAATTTAGAAATTTCTCTTGAATTGACTCTTTACCGAACCCAGTAGTTGGGTTCAATAAAGTCTAACAGATCTGGGTTCGGTGGTTGCAGTTGGAAAGAGGAAGAAAGAAAAAGAAAGAGGGGGAAGAAGATGGATTGAGAGGGGGATGGTAATAATATAACTTAGTTGTTTTTTTATTTTTTTTATTAAAAGTTTAAATATTTATATGATGTGGTATTTTTATTTATCCATGTAATTCAATTACAAGACATGTCATTGTCGTCTCATCAAAAGAATTTAAAAAAATGCCATTATGAAATTATTTAGCGATTATGTTATACTTAACTAAATGATGGATTAAAATTTTTTAATTTTTAGAGTTAAAAATAAAAAATAAAAAAGTAAAAAATAGTTGAAGGATGAAAATTGCGTAACATTATAAAGTTGAGAAATAAAATTAACATTTAACCAAGAAGAATATATGTTTGGAGGTTTGAAACTTTGAAACAAAGTTGTGAATACTATATGGGTGTACATATCGATTTTGTTATTAAAATAATATATTTTAGATATTAAAATTTTTTGTGTATCATTTTGAATTTATCGTTATAAATATATATGTTTATAAAAAGATAAATATTTATAATAGATGAAATATTAATTAAATTTTAAAATATGGTTAAACTCCATTTTGGTTCCTCAACTATTGTATGAACTCTTGATTTAGTCTCTTAACTCAAAAAATCTTGATTTGATCTTTATTGTTTATTGTTTTTACCTTGATTTGATCTTTTTGTTAAAAATCTTGTGACATGACTTGTTAATTCACGGTTACATGATGACATATTAAATATTAATACACATGGAAGACAATATGACAAAAAAATGATGACATGAAAAAAATATTAATATAAAAAATATTAATATGAAAAATAAACTTAATTTTTTT